GTTTTAAACAATGCTTAAATTCTAATTTACTTTTTAATGCGTGGATTCTTTAAAATTTCCTTGTGCTAGTTATTTCTGAGTCTCCTCCATCCAGAAGGGGCAGGAAGGGCACTGTTTCCAGAGAGACCCTGCCACCGCAGAGCACTTGGGAAGGCAAGGTTCCCGGGCAGATTTCTAGCTCCTTCTGCCTTGGGCTGTATTTGACAGCTTGTGGACATCAGGTTGCAGTTCACTCTGAGAGATTGTAAAGCTGCTGAAGGATGGAAAATGAAAACATGCTGCGCTGCAGAGGGTGGGCGCGCCTGGGGTGGGGCTCTGCAGCCCCCACGGGCTACTGTACAGGGGGGGTAGGCGGGCAGACGGATGCCCTGCAGGCTTGCGCACCCGGCCCTCCAGGAGGCCTGGGGTTGGAAGGACAGGGCAAGCCGTGTCCCTCCACTCACTGGGAGGCCATGATCTGCAGAGAAAGCAACAGGCTCCCCCCAACCCCCTTCCTCCACGAAAGCCGCCAGCTGGGTTCTCCCAGGCTGTTCCCCAGGAGCACCCGGCCCCTCTGAGGAGCCCCACGTGGGCTCATGAAATGACTCAGAAGGGGACTCCTGGGCTCCAGGTAGAGCGAAGGTTTGCGCTCAGTCTATGACTGGACACAGAGGCTGGGAAGCTGACAGAGGGCCCGCCCCATGCCAGGGACTGTCCATATGCCTCTACTTGCCTCATTTCACCAATCCCGAAAAAGGGAGACACAAGCACAGGGCCAAGCGGCTGGGAGAGTAAGAACCAGACATTCAGAGAGCTAGTTCTCCACTGGGGGCCACGGGCCAAGACCCCAGACAGAGGGCCCTGCGGACAAGACCCAGTGTCTACGGGACCCAAGAAGTCGCTCGCTTACTGGGGAAACTAGCCCGATGACGAATGGTTTGCTGGTTTGTTTTGAAGCCAGTGCAGGGATCTGAGCAGGAGAAACATACACTTGGCTTTCAACCGTTGAGTTGGATGGTGGATCTCAGCCACTCAGCAGCTGGGACTCAAGATCAAGATCACATTAGGCGGGGAAAACCCACTAAGAGGGCTCAGGATCCTGGTGGGGAAAAGTTCCCTACCGGGGCTGCAGTACAGGTGTGAAGCTGAGGGAGCCATCCCCAGCCCATCTCCGCTTTTCCCCCTTTCCCAGTCCTAGTTAATCTGTACCCTGTGTGGCATTAAGACAGTCAGTTCTGCAAGAGCCTGTGTGCTGGATCTAGAGGGAAGAGAGGTTGACTGCAACGAGGAAGTTCAAGGGAGGCAGGCAGGTGCCAGGGATGTGGGTGAAATAGGATGAGGGACACATACAAGCCTGTGGATACCGGGTCTCCAGGGCTAACCACCTGGCCACTTGGTGGAGTAGGGGGTGACCTCCTGAGACCCTGTCCTCTGTGCTATGAGTTAGAAAGTGTGCGGGTGCAGGGCACACTTCAGCTGGGGGGGCCGGGCCCAGAGTGCATCCCTCAGTGTAGAGGGAGAGGAAGGCTAGCCCTGTTTTAGCCCCGCGGGATGTGGCAAAGGGTAAGAAGACCCAGCATCTGCTCAAGTCCACTCGGACAGGGAGACTCATGTTCTCGCCAAGCCCAGGCCGGATAGAAAGCTTGAAGCGCCCCCCACCCCCACCCAGTGACCCGATGACCTGTCGGGTGATGTTCCCACCTGGCCCCTTGTGTGTTTTCTCCCGGGGAGGCCCTGTCCCTTTTTCTCCTCTGTACTGGCTGAGCCAAGGACCACATTTCCTCCAAGTCACCCCAAAGAAAGGGGGGACATGCTGTGGGTGGAGGGCTGAGCATGCTGGGCTTCCCATCATGAGAAAGGCAGCTTCCATGTCCCTTGGGAGCTGGGATTGAACCTGACCCTCCTGCACATTGGAGGAGACGCATCTCTGGGGGGTAAGGATTTCCGGCACTGGCTGATGGGCTGGAGGGGGCCTGGTGCAGCGGGAACAGAATCCAGGAGGCCGGGTCCCTCTCACCACCGCTCTGTGCCTGTTTCCCATCCAGGCTAAGCAGCCTCCCTCGCAGGGCTGTTCAGGGTTATTTACAAGGACCCGCAGCGAAGCAAGGTCAAGATACAGAGCCCCTCTTCTTCCCTTTCATCTCACCCGGCGGCTCGGCCCCTTGCCATCTCTTTGATGACATCTTTGGAACCACAGGGCCCTGGCTCTGAGGAACTGCCAGGCCGGGCAGGACGCTGTCACCGAGAACTCTCTGTGGTCGGTAGCTTATCCCACCCCTGACAGCCCCAGTGACTCAGACGCACCCGGGGTGCTGTTTCCTCCACGTGTGTCAGCACCATCTCACAAGTGCGTCCTGAAGGGTGGCTAGAGCTGGTGGTTGGCATGTTCCAGGGGTGCTGGTTTCCTCCAAGGGCAGTACCAAGGAAGTGACCTGGCTCAGACTGGTGGGAGGTACGGGGCCTGACGCGGCTCACCTCTGAGTGACCTTGGAGAAGTCTCTGACTTTGCCAAGGCTTCCCTTGTGTCCTCCAAAGGGGAAGATGGCCAACCCCTTGTAGCTCTAGCGTGCTCGCCTCTATGAGGCAGGATCCCTGGCTGCAGAAAGGGGAGAGGAGGGGTCTCTGGCCCTGGACACCTTCAGAGACGGTCCTCCCCGAATGCTGCCTGCAGTGCCACTGTTCTGCCTATCATTCAGGGACTCCAGGAAATGGCTCTGGCTCTGGGACCTTTGGTGAAGCAAAGGTCATGGAGAAGTGAAGGTCAAGGACTAGATACACGCTCCTTCTAGCCAGAGTCCTGGGAAGCCACACACGTTCGTTCCCCTGGGTTCCAGCAGTGGAGGAGGCCTTCCTTTGCCACATGCGTGCTGCCCAGTTGCCATGGGCCCATCACCGACAAACAGGAAAGTCTAGAGGAGGCTGCCTCCCTTACCGGAAACTGTCAAACCAAAACTTGTGCCACTCACTTCCTCCTGAATCATTTGGGGTTTAGAAGATCATTGAAAAAGGAAAGAAAGCCAGCCCCATGGTGTGAAGCTTCTCAATCCGCCCCACCCCGGAGCTTGCTCACCCCTCCATCCCCCAGAGCCTCGGCCTGTGGCCCTCACCAGACGAGCAGTAGTGCAGCCCCCAGAGCCTCGGCCTGTGACCCTCGCCAGACGAGCAGTAGTGTCCGTCTTGCCACACCTCCCGTGTGCCACTGCTTTCACGCCCATTCATTCCCGTCCAGGCGCCACGTCCAGATCCAAAGGGTTTGAGCACGAGACCCAGTTTCGCACTTTTCGTGACCCTCCCTCCCCCTGTGCCCTGGTTCAGTCCCCACACTGTCTGTCCGCTGGCACAGCACAAAGAGGCACAAAGAACGGGACCTCGGTTCTGTAGGGGAGCCTCCAGCAGGCTGCTTTCGAGGTAGGAATGTGCTGCAGCCTGAACACCCTCAATGTCATTGAGGCCGGGTGTGGGCATGGAGAGTGTTCCTGATGGACAGGACCCTGGGAGCCAATGCCCTCTGGGCCCCCGTTGTGATAGCACAGGGGAAGGACCCCAAGAACCACACACAAGCCTGGGGTCTGCAGGTAGATGCAAACGCCAAGTAACAGTCAGGAGGGCAGGTGCAGCTCTCCACACTCAGGTCCCCAAACCCTGCAACGTGGGGCCTGAATGCGGTTTTGTTTGCAGAGCAGGAGCTTGCTCTTGGCATTGGGAGGCGGAAGGCGTTTGTGAGGGGGAGGAGAAGTTGCAGAGAAAGAAGAAATCCTGAAAGGACAGGCAGTGGGACAGCTGTGGCCTGAACTTGGTGTTCTTCCTCCTCGGATGTGGATGTATTAATTTCCATAAATGCTAATAGCTCATTTCCCCAAGAGCTATTACTTATGTCATCTCCCCTTGGATGCATTTCAACACAGGGCAGACAAGTGAAAGAGAAGAAAGGGCAGCCCCCACTGGTGAGTTCCCATACCCCAACCCTGTCCCCACCAGGCAGCTCAGGACTGTTCTAAGGTGGCCCCTCTAACTGCAGGGTCAAGACCCCCCTGCCGAGGGCCCCACAACCAGGTCCCTATCATGCCAGGAGGCAAAGAAAGTTACCAACCCCAAAAATGCTGAATCACAAAGTAAGCTGAGTAGGAAAGTGGGGGTGGGGTGGGAAGGGAGCCGGTGGCTAGGGGGGAAGGCAGGAAAGGGTGCTAAGGGGCTTCTCACCTGGAGCCCCCCAGGCCGCTCTAGACAAAGCATAGACCCTAAAGGAGCCCCCAGACAAATGCCAGGAGGAGCAGAGCCAGGGTAGGCTGCCGGGGTGGGGGGGGGGGAAGGTGGGCAGGTACAGGACTGCTACTGCAGCAGGAAGCGGTGCAGCAGCTGGGTCTCTGCGTCCTGCGTCCTGCAGGAGCAGGTAGGGGAGGTGGGGAGCGAAGAGAAGCTGAAAAGGGGGCAGGGGTATAGGGACCGGGGTGGGGTGGGGTGTGTAGGCAGCCAGATGAACTGGTGCAGGAGGGGAACGCCGAGGTCCTGGGGAGCAAGGCAAGGTGCAGAGAGGGCGCCCGCAGGGAGAGATGTGGCGATTGGGAGCAGAATGGGTGGGAAGATGGGGCCAGGGACCTGGAAGGAAAGGCAGGATGAGCCTTCAGGAGCAACAAGGAGAGAGATGGGGGGGATCGGTCCAGGAGCGCTCCGATGGGGCTGCGCTGAAAGGGGGATGGGGGAGGGGAGGCGAGGCTGCGGGAAAAGGAGGGGGCAGAGACGGGACGAGGGGAAGGATGAAGTTTGGGGCAGGGGTCGGGCATGGGAGCTAAAAGGTCGGGCGGGTTGGCAGATAGGGCAGGCAAGGGAGGACAGGATGGGGGCAGGGAGATGATGGAGAAGGAGGCGAGCCGGCTGGAGAGGAGGTGAGGACGGAGGCGGGCGGGGACGCACTGGGGGAAAGGAGATGGAGAGTCAGCGCGGGCCTCGCGGGTACCCGCCGCCGCTTTCCCGGCGCACGGCCGTGTACTGCGCGGACGGCCGGGGTCTCCCCCTGCACTCACCTGGGGGCTCCAGCTCCGGATCCTCTGCCCCGCTCCGGATCTTCCTTCCCGCCCTGTCCCTGCGACTTTAGCGCCCCCGAATCCCACTAGCTCCACCAGGTTCCGCCCGCAGCATCTTCACCTCGTGGGACGCCCGGGGCCACGCCTCTGCCAGCTTCTCATTGGCTGATCTTCACGCCAGTCACATTCCTATTGGCAGAGGGATCGCCGACCATGCAAATCAGAACGGGCCCGCCGCCGCGCCTATTGGCTGGCGCTCCCGGAGCGGAGCCCCTGGACTTGGGCTCTGATTGGTCCCACGGTGCTGCTGACGCGAAGGTCGGGGTGCGGGTTCTTTCCCTTCCGAGGCTCCTCGGGCGGGTGGCAGCGGGTCGGGTGCCCCTCGGCCGGTCCTCGGACCGCAAGGCCTGCGGCTCCGGTGGGCACCGGCCGGCCGCCGGGCCTCTGGATCCGTCCGAGGGGCACATCCTCGAAAGCTTGGGGCTCGACGCCCCGGGGCGGGTGTGGCAGCTGCAGGCCCGTCTCCTAGGTAACGCTGCCCGCCGCGGGCGGAACCACGTTGGCTGGCTCCGCGGGGGAGGTTGGACGCAGCCCAGAGGCGCGGGGGCCGCCGAGCGGGTCAGGGCCTCGGGCCCGGGGTTGGGGTGATCCGTGCGTCTTTCCCCGGGGCCCGGTACCTGCGGGGCGCGGCGGCCGGGCGGGCGCGAGGCTGTGCCCGTGTCGGTCGCACCTCCTTCCCCCCGCCGTGACACTTGGTGCGGCCGGAGCCACAGGCTTCGGGGACTTCTTGGGGCTCAACCTCAGTACTCTGCCCCTAGACCCTGCGCCCCCTTGCAGCCCTCCAGCTTAAGGCGAGCGCGGTGCCGCCGGCCTGGGCTGTGCTGAGACCGCGGCGTTGGCCCTCCCCTTTTCCCCGTCGGACCCCTGCCGGGGACCCCTGCGTTGCCTGTCCCCACTGGGTTCCTGTCCCCCGCTGGCCCTGCCGACCCGTCCCAGCGCTGCCGCCCAGTGGAGATCTGGAGACTCCCTGGCCCTCGCAGGAGTCCCTGCCTTGATAGCCCTGCCTGCCTACGGCCTCCCCTGGAGCTGCTTCCACCTTCCCCTCCGCTGTGCAGCCCACCGACCTCCTGACCGCCTCTGAGCACCCCACCTGGGCCCTTCTCGAGACCCCAGTGCTCGGTCTCCTGCTCGCTTCTTCAGACTCAGAGGCCCCACCTTTGCATCTCTCTTGCATGCCTGCCTCCCTAGAAGACAGATGCCTTATCAGACCCGGTCCTGCCTTCGGTGTTGCACTGTGTCACTTGGGTTGAAGCATACGAAGGAAGTCTGGCCTCCCAAGCTTGTGTAGTTGGAAAAGGTGTCCTTTAGATGATGGTGGATAGTCGCCCCCAGTTCCCGCCCAGGTCTTCATCACAGCTCACTACACCTTCCGGTCCTCTGATTTTCAGAGGTCACAGCCACCTCCTTTGTGTGCTGACTTGCATCCTGTCTTTTTGCCTCTCTCCAGATACATTCCTCGAGGGCAGGACGGTTTCTCCAGGGCCTGGCACGTGGTAGGTACTCAAAGACTATTCCTTGAATGAGGAATTCCAGGCAGTGCTTAAGTAGACCTCTACTTACTCTCAAAAAAGCTCCCCAAAGCTTTCAGGTCTCAGGCATTCCAGATTTTGTTCACTTCTGGGAGGGAAGCTTCCCTGTGACCGGGCAGCTCCTGCGGTTCCTGCTCCTCCCTTGCCTTGGGGAACCACTGCTTGTGAGACATCAACCCAGCCTAGCACTTCGGCGCCTGAATTCCCTCCTCTTCTCTACCCTCCCTCCCCCACCACAGAAAGGAGTCTGGATCAGGCTTGTCTCCTGTGTGCTGCTCCCACTCGCCCCCTTGTTCTTTTAAATTTTATTTTATTATTATTTTTTTATACAGCAGGTTCTTATTAGTCTATTTTATACATATTAGTGTGTATACATCAATCCCAATCTCCCAATTCATCCCACCATCCCCCCACCCCGCCCCTGCTTTCCCCACTTGGTGTCCATACGTTTGTCCTCTACATCTGTGTCTCTATTTCCGCTTTGCAAACCGGTTCATCTGTACCATTTTTCTAGATTCCACAGATATGCATTAATATACGATATTTGTTTTTCTCTTTCTGACTTACTTCACTCTGTATGACGGTCTCTGAGTCCATCCACGTCTCTACAAGTGATCCAATTTTGTTCCTTTTTATGGCTGAGTAATATTCCATTGTATATATGTACCACATCTTCTCTATCATTTTGTCTGTTGATGGGCATTTAGGTTGCTTCCATGACCTGGCTATTGTAAACAGTGCTGCAATGAACATCGGGGTGCATGTGTCTTTTTGAATTATGGTTTTCTCTGGGTATATGCCCAGTAGTGGGATTGCTGGGTCATGTGGTAGTTCTATTTTTAGTTTTTTAAGGAACCTCCATACTGTTCTCCATAGTGGCTGTTTCAATTTACATTCCCACCAGCAGTGCAAGAGGGTTGCCTTTTCTCCACATCCTCTCCAGCATTTGTTGTTTGTAGATTTTCTGATGATGCCCATTCTAACCGATGTGAGGTGATACCTCATTGTAGTTTTGATTTGCATTTCTCTAATAATTAGTGATGTTGAGCAGCTTTTCATGTGCCTCTTGGCCATCTGTATGTCTTTGGAAAAATGTCTGTTTAGGTCTTCTGCCCATTTCTTGACTGGGTTGTTTGTTTTTTTTAATACTGAGCTGCATGAATTCTTTATCTGTTTTGGAGATTAATCATTTGTCTGTTGATTCATTTGCAAATATTTTCTCCCATTCCGAGGGTTGTCTTTTCATCTTGTTTATTGTTTCCTTTGCTGTGCAAAAGCTTTTAAGTTTCATGAGGTGCCATTTGTTTATTTTTGTTTTTATTTCCATTACTCTAGGAGGTGGGTCAAAAAGATCTTGCTGTGATTTATGTCAGAGGGTGTCTTTTCTATGTTTTCCTCTAAGAATTTTATAGTGTCCGGTCTTACATTTAGGTCTTTAATCCATTTTGAGTTTATTTTTGTGTATGGTGTTAGGGAGTGTTCTAATTTCATTCTTTTACATGTAGCTGGCCAGTTTTCCCAGCATTATTTATTGAAGAGACTGTCTTTTCTCCATTGTATATCCTTGCCTCCGTTGTCATAGATTAGTTGAGCATAGGTGCGTGAGTTTATCTCTGGGCTTTCTACCCAGTTCCATCGATCTGTATTTCTGTTTTTGTGCCAGTACCATATTGTCTTCATTACTGTAGCTTTGTAGTATAGTCTGAAGTCACGGAGTCTGATTCCTCCAGCTCCATGTTTTTTCCCCTCAAGATTGCTTTGACTATTTGGGGTCTTTTGTGTCTCCATAAAAATTTTAAGATTTTTTTTCTAGTTCTGTAGAAAATGCCATTAATAATTTGATAGGGATTGCACTGAATCTGTAGATTGCTTTGGGTAGTATAGTCATTTTCACAGTATTGATTCTTCCAATCCAAGAGCATGGTATATCTCTCCATCTGTTTGTGTCATCTTTGATTTCTTTCATTAGTGTTTTATAGTTTTCTGAGTACAGATCTTTTACCTCCTTAGGTAGGTTTATTCCTAGGTATTTTATTCTTTTTGTTGCAATGGTGAATGGGATTGTTTCCTTAATTTCTCTTTCTGATCTTTCATTGTTAGTGTAAGGGATGCAAGAGACTTCTGTGCATTAATATTGTATCCTGCAACTTTACCAAATTCATTGATTGGCTCTAGTAGTTTTCTGGTGGCACCTTTAGGATTATCTATGTATAGTGTCATGTCATTTGCAGACAGTGACAGTTTTACTTCTTCTTTTCCAATTTGTATTCCTTTCATTTCTTTTTCTTCTCTGATTGCCGTGACTAGGACTTCCAATATTATATTGAATAATAGTGACGAGAGTGGACATCCTTGTCTTGTTCCTGATCTTAGATAAATGCTTTCAGTTTGTCACCATTGAGAGTGATGTTTGCTGTGGGTTTGTCGTATATGGCCTTTATTATGTTGAGGTAGTTTCCCTCTATGCCCACTTTCTGGAGAGTTTTTATCATAAATGGGTATTGAATTTTGTCAAAAGCTTTTTCCGCAGCTTTTGAGATGATCAAATGGTTTTTATTCCTCAGTTTGTTAATATGGTGTATCACATTGATTGATTTGTGTATACTGAAGAATCCTTGCATCCCTGGGATAAATCCCACTTGATCATGGTGTATGATCCTTTAAATGTGCTGTTGGATTCTGTTTGCTAGTATTTTGTTCGGAATTTTTGCATCTATATTCATCAGTGATATTGGTCTGTAATTTTCTTTTTTTGTAGTATCTTTGTCTGGTTTTGGTATCAGGGTGATGGTGGCCTCGTAGAATGAGTTTGGGAGTGTTCCTTCTTCTGCGATTATTTGGAAGAGTTTGAGAAGGATTGGCGTTAGCTCTTCTGTAAATGTTTGATAGAATTCACCTGTGAAGCCATCTGGTCCTGGACTTTTGTTTGTTGGAAGATTTTTAATCACAGTTTCAATTTTATTACTTGTGATTGGTCTGTTCATATTTTCTATTTCTACCTGGTTCAGTCTTGGAAGGTTGTACCTTTCTAAGAATTTGTCCATTTATTCCAGGCTGTCCATTTTATTGGCATACAGTTGCTTGTACTAGTCTCTTATGATGCTTTGTATTTCTTCGGTGTCTGTTGTAACTTCTTTTTCATTTCTAATTTTATTGATTTGAGTCCTCTCCCTCTTTTTCTTGATGAGTCTGGCTAAAGGTTTATCAATTTTTTTTATCTTCTCAAAGAACCACGTCTTAGTTTTATTGGTCTTTGCTATTGTTTTCTTTGTTTCTATTTCATGTATTTCTGCTGTGATGTTTATGATTTCTTTCCTTCTACTAACTTTGGGTTTTGTTTGTTCTTTCTCTAGTTCCTTTAGGTGTAAGGTTAGATTGTTTGAGATCTTTTTCTTGTTTCTTGAGGTAGGATTGTATTGCTATAAGCTTCCCTCTTAGAACTCCTTTTGCTGCATCTCACAGTTGTGTTTTTGTTGTCATTTGTCTCTAGGTATTTTTTGATTTT